TCCTTTCCTTTCCTTTCCTTTCCTTTCCTTTCCTTTCCTTTCCTTTCCTTTCCTTTCCTTTCCTTTCCTTTCCTTTCCTTTCCTTTCCTCAGAAATCTAAGTAATCTATGTGTCCAAATGTGCCATATTCTAAATTGTGCACAGGAACCCTCATCATCTGTGTTCATTTATATTTTATCACTGCTTCCTTCTTTTCAGTACACAGAAACCAGACTTATACTCTGAATACCTTTATGTCAATACATAAATAAGCTTTGTGGGTGTGATCAATACCAATTAAGTTTATTTGCAAGCACAGGTCTCACACTGAATCAATTCTAAAAAGAATTTGAGCAGGAGTGGGACAAAGAGTGATCATCATGGGAAAATACTAGTGTTACTTAGAGACAGTGATGGTAGAGTGTTCTGCCATTGAGGTACTTTTAATTTCAGTGGGCAGTCTGATGTGTCAAGCCAAGTCAGGGAATGAAAGGGTAGTAGCAAAAGACCACTGTGTGGAGTGCTTTAAAAGAAATTTATTTTTAAAGCTGTCTTCAGAGGCTGCCTTCTGCCTTCATCTAAGTTGTTAAGTACAGTTGTTGTTCTGAAAAGGAGTATGTTGGTAGGAGATTATTATTGGCTGAGCTAATATAGCTAGTAAGCATTTTGAGGTGTTTATTATCTAAATAAAAAGATAAACAATTCAGATAATTTTTTTCCCTTTTCCCCACTCCACAAATGAAAAAACCCCAAAACCAGCAGCCCTTTAGAGTGACAACTTTGCCAAATTAAAATGGAAACTACTTCTGTCATCCTTAGAAATTAAATATAAAGAAACAGCTTTTAATATGAGAAAAGCTGTCAGCTTTAGCAGGCTGGCTCTTATTTACCAGAGAGCATTAAATATAATGTAGGTCAGATCTAGAATGACTTAACAAATGGTTGAAGTTACTTAGAAAAAGTTACTGCTTCTTGTGAGTTTCCTGGACATACACTCTGAATTAGGTTGTTTGCTTATTCCAATAAAATCACTGATCAAATAACACTCTTTTTGGGATTATTTGTCTACTGCAGGAAAGTCAAGTACTCTTAATCACTTTCCATGCACAGGAGACCTGCATGCTGGACCTGTCATGAAGTTTTATCTATAGCTCTTTTCTTTATTCTTGCCTGTACTTTGGGAGACTCTGAACATTGAATGATTGGAGTGGGGACATTTTTCCACTTGGGTCATACTTGCATCATTAGATGTTGAAGCATGCCTTTAATCTCTTTCAGAATATGTGATCAATAGTGATCCATTTTCTAGCATTATTTTAGTCTATATGGTAAAATTTTCATTTCCACAGGCATAAAATCAGATGTTGCTTACCATTCATCTTTCTATTTTGTCATATGCTTGAAGAATCTATGTTGGCAATACAAGTGTATTTCCATTTTTGTGTGAAATACCCAGGAGATGTTTTATTGTCCTTGAGAACCTTTATTACTGTGGTGAGACTGTTTTCATCCTGGTCTTGCATATGCAGGTCATTCACTGTCTGAGCCTGTAAGTACCCATGTTGTGAATGCTGCTGCTTCCTTGTTGGGGTGCTCCAAGCAGCACTGAGCCCAGGATACTGAAGCTCAAGCTCCACAGCAGATAATCCAGTAAAAATATTGTACTTTGCTTTGTATTTATTATTGTTTTTTTCCTCCCATCCCTCCTCCCCTCCTCTAATAAACAGCTCCCCACCCTGACTTCATCCATCAGAATGTGTTTAATTACTGTTCAGCTACTGGTAAAAATGAGCACATTCCTTTGCAGCTTTGTCTAGGCCATGGCCCTACTGAGACCAGCTCAGTTTATGTTTTGATATAAGTAGGCTCAGTTTTAGCTTCAGCTGTCTCAGTCAAGGGTCTGCCCAAGAAATTGTCAAATCTTTAAAGGCACTGAAATGATGAAGCTCAAGGTGCTGAAGGTTTCCTGGAGCTTGCTGTCTTAGCGTGATGGACCACAGCACCAATGTAGGCACACAGTTTGTGGTAATTGGGACTGGGGCTGTGGTGGAGCTTCATTCCCAATGGGCTGCAGCTGTGCAGGACAGGTGAGCAGCATTGAAGGCAATGAGACCTGGAGTGCTGAGGTGCACTGACCAATCACCAAAGGATACAGAGGCCTCACAGGTGCAATGCATGAACAAAAGGGGTATAAAAGGTTGGACTGGAAAGCAGTAAAGAGTAGATGCTTGAAGCTTTCTGAGGTGGTGTGGTGTTACTCCGAATGGACTGATGCTTTCTGAGATGGTATGGTGATGCTCCGTATATTATTGTTGTTTTAACTGTGACATGCCAATGATTTTCATAGGCTTTTATAAAGACTGCTTTAGTGCTGCTGAATTTTCTCCCTACCCCAGTTTAGGAACTCTTCTAAGCAAAGGATAAATTCACTCTACTTTACTCTCTGAGTAATAGTGGTGGAATACAGTTCTGTAATTTTACACTACTGTTAGTTTTGGGCATAGTCTATTTATAAACTTTCCTTCACTGGAGGGAAAGACTTTGGAATCTTTCTATTCAGCAAAACTTATGAGCAAGGCTCCTTAACTGAGAGACTTCCCTTTCTCTTTGGAAAATCTCTCAGCACCAGAAAAATTTTTGTGTCAGTAGAGTCTGGATAGCTTTCTCTTTAATTCCTGTTGCTGACATAGATGCTTTTTGTCAGGACCACAATTAGGAACATCTTGATTTTCCACCAAGACTTTGTGTAATTACCTATGGCTTAAGGTTAGTCCAAGGGGGCTTATACTGGGTCTGGTATGGAGTCCTGGAGTAGCAGAACTTAGTCTATTTGCCTTTTGGGGAATGTTGAAAACAGAGTTTTGGTCCTCACAAGAGGATAATTTCTTTTATATGTCAGTAAAAATATCATAATGTATTGATATAATGCAAATATAAGAATAACCTCCTGATACTAATACTCTGGGAATAGACTAAGCTAAATACCACTGAATAGTGATTTCTAGGTCGGAAAAAGAAATTTCTAGGTTTCCCTTCAGTAAGTATGTGTTAAGCCTATTAACTTTAGGGAATTTATTTGCATGTATTGAAAAGAAAAAAAAGTACATGTAGAAGATAGCAGTTGGAATGCTAGTTATTTGTTTGCATTCAGCCCTAAAGTAAAATGCAGTGTTTATACAGCAGTATTTACTTTCAAACTGCTACTGAATAATAAATCTGGAAACACTTTTTTTTTAAGGATTGGCTCACATTATCTTCACCCTTTACAACTGCAAAAATTGTAGCAAAGAGCTAATTTGTTGTATACCACAAAATAAATTGGTGGCAATGCTGTGATTAAAATGAAGCCAGGAACTGCATCCCTGTGTCTGCAGCTGGAAAAATGTGTTTTTTAAATTTCTGCTCCTGAGGGTGGCAGTACCTCTGCACTTTCACAACTGAGGGAGACATGGAAAAAGCAGATGCTCACTTATGCCACGTAGTGCTGTCTTACTGTTTATAACTACAAGACAAACCACCTACAATGTTTGTTAGATTCATCATTGTGGTTTTGTTTCTTTGGTCTTCTCTTTTCATTAGCTCTTACAAGATTTGATGTCTCATAGTTACTGCTTTTAACTGCCTTTGGAACTGTCTGTCCTTGCTTAGACAGGCTACTTCACTGCTAAACTTATTATTCTGTACTGAAGTGTACAACTTTGTGTTTTGTACTACATCCTGGTGTTTTTTTTTTTTTTTTTTTTTTTTGTAAAACGAAAAGTTTTGATTCTTTCTATCTTTTGTGAAGAAAAGTTCTATCTTAAATTTGTCTGGCATGTAAATGATCTCCAATACAGCTTAGGTGTTGTGACTTTTGTATATTACTGTTTTACTTGCCTTACAGTTTTTTTTTTTACTCTTTGTGCATGAGCTGTGTCTTAATTCCCTGAGGATGCTTCACTATACATAAATGAAACTTGATTTTTATCAAGTCATTAGATCTGTCATGGCCAATGTTAGTTAGCCTACAGGTCCTTACTGCTTGTTTTTATTTCTATATTTGTTCGTGGGTACAAATGAGACGATCTGAGAGAAGAACTATTTTCCTTAGACCTTTAATAACTATCTTTTGTCAAAATGTGTTGGTGTGACTCATCAACGGTTCTTGCTAATGTAACTTTCTGTCATGACAGTCCCAAACTCACCTACATAAGCATCAATTTTAAGAACAGTTACTGTCTTGATTTTCTGGTTTAGGGGTGATCGGCTTAAGCATCGCAAAAACAGCACGTGAAGAACAGGTTACTGGCATCATGCGTGGAATCTGTCTAGGTTGTTTGCTTTTTCTGGTTTTTTAAAAATAAGAGACAATTTGATGCAATTTCTAAATGTAAACAAACTCAAGAAAAAACACTTTTTTACCATTCCCATGAAAATGCATAGGGAGCAATGCATTAGCAAATACACTACCTCTACCATGGCAAATATCTTGTCTATTAGTTAAGTAAACAGAGTCAAAGTTTGTTAGTGCAGAAACAATGCAGTAAGAAGCATTGCTGATTTCTGCACCTGATCCCTGAATCCCAAAAGCAACCACAAAATCAGATCGGTCATGCCAAATAAAAAAGCAGGTAAGAATGAGTATATAAAAATACTGCTTGAGACTGTTTGCTGCCCAGTAGCATGCATTATTTGGTTGGGTTTTTTTTTCCTCCTAATTGAAAGATTAGTGACAATGCTTCCCCAGCCCTGAGACTGAAAGACTTTCCTCTGCATTATTTTATGCAGCATACTACTTTTGTTCAATATGCTAATAAGTTTAAAACCACTAGAATTACATTAAAGAGGAAAAGTTGCTGGGGAGAACAGTAGTTACTGACAATTAGGTGGTGTTATCCAGCCATTGTAACTCTCAGGTGTTCAGCCTGTACTTTTGTCATGCCACATTGGTACAGCCAGAGCCCTAAGATCGAATAAAAATCAATATGCTTTTTCAGACAGGGCCAAGAGTAGAATGGGCAATGCAAAAAGGCCAGCTGAATTAAGAAACATAAATCTTCCCTGAAGAGCAAGAGCCTTCTATGGTATCTGCTTTCAAAATGTTTATTGGAAAGTGATAGAGAAGAAATGTGTATCTCTTCGTTTAAAGTGTTTTCCTTATTACAAAGTTGTTACACCATCTATTATATCTATGTGCTTTAGGGAGTATCTTTTCTGAAGACTGCTTTAATAGTAAGTGATTATGCTGATAAAACTATTTGAAAAAAAAAATCCTACAGTTTGCATTAAAAAAATGCTAGAGCAGCTGACACCTTCAGTCCAGTGCATATCCAACAACTGAGGAGAGCCCCTTTACTCACACAGGGTTTTCACATGGGCATCTGGTTCTTCTGGAAGAATCAAGTTCTTTCAACTATCTCCTGCTATTTTCTGAAACAAGCTGGGTGTGTCTCAGCAGGCCAAATCCAAACACAGGATGTGTTTACAACTACTACAAGATATGATGAGAAGGCTCAGCCTTCTCTAAAGTCCATTCAGCAGAATTGGCTACCAATGTCTCAGTGGGTTCAAAACCTTTTCCTTGCTAGTGGCAAGACATGTATAGTTGGCAGTTTCTTGTGACTTACAAAGGAGAATTAACTTTCTACCTCCTGAAATGAATCTGGAGGGAGTCAAGGTATTAATTAGCCTTTCCTACTGATAAATTCCCCTGAAGTGTTATTGGTCTGGACCTACTACTCTTTTCATATTTGCTGGCTTTTAGCTGATTGAACAGTTCCTTGTCCTTTGGCCTGTTGAAATTGAAGCTGATTTCAATACCAAGGTTGAAGACAGCTGCTGTGCATAAGGATTTACATGATCATACACAGCTATGCTGAATCCAACTGAGCAGTAGTGAAGCCCTCAAATTACTCTGTCAGGATTCAATGAAATGGTAACAAATTGGGAATCCCACATCTCAGTAACTGGTACTGAAGGACAGCTTTGGCAGAAGGATCCTAATCAACGATGAAGCAATTTCTCTGCCATGAGAGGAGTAATCTTCTTTCACCCCTCGTGTCCCCTGTGTTCCCCATATTTTCAGCAGCTCAGGGCTGTCCATGCATTATTGTGGTGTAAAAGGGATATGGAAACTTCTCTATCGGTTTCTCAATTTCTGGTCTCAGGCTGGGCCCTGGTGGGGAAGACCCTCCTGGAGCAGTTTTGTGTCAGGAAAGAGAGATATGCTGGATTTTTTTGGTCTTCAGGTTCTTGTTTATTATCTTACCTAAAGTTTTGTGTGCTGTCCACACCAGGCTTAGCTCACTGGAAAAGCTCTGCAAAACATGGCTAACAATCTCTTGTTACAAGTTCTTTTAAGACTAAACTATCCAATTAAGAACTGATGCCTAGATTATTTCCCCTTTTAACCCAATAACTGTTCCCTTTTCTGCCTAGTTACAAAATGCCACCCAAAGCCATGAGGAAGAAGCATGAAGAAGAAACTCAGGACAACACGCTGTGCCCTCCACCTTGCTTCCATCCACAACATATTAAAAATCCCCAAACCTAAATTTCTCATCAAGTGATACACCTACACTTCTCTCTATAATCTATTTCACACTTTTGTGGATTCTAGTCTATCTTGAAGTCTAGGAAACTTTCTCCATGGAGGAGGGCCAAAGTCAGTGCTCCCCTGGGGGTCAGGACAACCCAAAGCAGACAGAGAAATACTCCAGGTTTCCACACCTCTCCATCCTAGAGAGGCTTTGCTCCAACATTTCCCAACTGAGGAACTGCTGTCTGCTCACTGTGCTCCATTGTGTTAAAGCAACTTCCCTGTCTGATCATCCAGGACTCTTGCTGTCAGTCAGTCTTGCACCATCTGACTGGTATTGATGCCTCTTCACTACACATCCAACACCCACACAGGTTAGGCTGCTTTATCTGCTCAACCCCAGGTTTCCCTCAGCAGTGTCTCAGATGTCCAGATCCCTCAAATAGCTTAGTCTGAGGAGGGACCCAGAACACAGAGCTGCCTGCACTATGCTTATTCCTCAAAGCTTCACTCCCGTAGTGGGTGAGGAATGCAGGAAAAGGTTGCTGCTAACATTGGGCATGGTTGTCCTTGCTTTGTCCAGGTCTCAGGTTTTCATGATGCCATTGGTGATGAGGACAAACCTCTTCCTGAGCCTGTTTACAGAGCTGTACAAGCTGCTTGTTCAGGCTGTGTGAGGAGATTCACAGGATCACAGAACATCCTGACCTGGAAGGGACCCACAAGGATCTTCAAGTCCAGCTCCCAACTGAATGGTCCATACAAGCCTCAAACCCACAACCATGGCATTATGAGTACCATGCTCTAACCAAACCTGTTCACTTTCTGTCTGTAAACGCTTTAGGCAACACTAAGGCTTTGATTTCTGTCATAGTAAATCTTTCAGTTTTGATTTACGTGACAAACAAGAGACAGATAAATGTGTTGCTGTCCAGTAAAGTGTCACTTTGGATCATGCCCTAAATCCATATAGCTCTGACTACCAATTATCTGGTATGTTTAAACTGGAAAAGTTATCTCAATCTTCTGATCTTACTGTATGAATAATAGATATAAAAAACTTAAATATGGAACATTATTAAAAGCTTCTCAATATGCGGTCCTTTATGATGTGTTTTATTTTACAGTCTCTTACATAACTCAGTAGTGCATTCTATTGTTGCACAGTGAAAACGTGCAATACCATGACTACTCTATATATTGTAGTCCACTATATTTTAAATATGTGGAATTTTTTCTTTCCCTTTTGAAATATTTTATTTTTTAATGTGCTTTGGGATGACAGAGACTAAAACCTGGCCAAACTTTAATTACTACAGTGTTAAAGTGAAAACGTTGTAATTTGTGGTAATTGAAAAGTCTATGTTAGTTCATCCTCAAAATTATTTGAGGTATTCTCAAATATCTGACTAGTCTTTTTGGAGGCAAGAGAGTGATGAATTTTTTTTAATATGCTTGATCAGTAGATGGGACTAGGGTGCCTGTTTGTTATTTACAGAAGTTTGCATCATATATTTATACTGAGAAGGTGAATGAAGTATTTAATATTTCATGTAATTTACCTGAAAACTTTCAATGGTTAGTCATCAATTCCTTTCCACAAATTGAGTTCAAATTCTGTGATTTAAAAGCACTCAAAACCCTATGTTGCTTTATGAAGATGGATGTTATTTGAAAATTAATAAACTCTGATGCTAAAGAGAAGAGAGTTTGAGGTATAAATGGAAAGAATGAGAAGTATCTTAAAATTTCAAACTGCAGTTATTGTAGCAATGAAGTGACTCGGTGAAGCAAACAGAAGTTCAGAGTAAATATGCTAGGCACATCAATGTAAATAAGAGAACAAAACCAGAATAATACCAAGAAGGTTATAATTTGAAAATAAATCTTGCATCTCAGTTCCTGTGTGCTGTAGTGCTTGCTATTTCTTATGAAGTGTTCCTATGTAAATCCATTTGTAGCATAACTATTTTCACTTAATTTGCTCATCCTGACAAAGATTTTCTCATTGAGCATTTGCACATCATGAAAAAGCAATGAGAGTTTGTTTACAGAGTCATATTTTTTTTGCAATTATTGATAAAAGTCTGCAGTTGCAAGGTTTTCAAGCAGTTTCGCTTTTTGGATTGTTTTTCTTTAAATGGAAAGGCAGTAAGTGTAAATGTATTTCTAAAATAGAAGTATTCACGCAGTTTATCACCTCATGTTTTAGTCTTCTGGTAAACACCTTTTTCCAAAATGAAATGTTGAGGAAACCTTTGCCTTAACAGCAATGATCTGAGGTTATGTATACATGTACTTGCAAAAAGTTGATTTCAACCATTGCCTGCTCAGTTGCATTTTTTGTAGTTTATTTTCCATGAAATTGTAAAAGCACATTGACATCAAACAATTTACTGCATTCAAATATGATGCATAAGAAAATGTCTCTGTTTTGATGTTGGTGCAAGGAAACAAAGCATTGTTATTTCTGAAGAGCAATTTCAGCAAAGTCATTTTTCTGTCTAATGTTAAGTTGTCCTTGTAAGCACAACAATTGGAGAGAGTTGTTGATTTTCTCTCTGCAGAAAAATCAATGGATGCAACTTAAAAAAAGCTAAAGTTTAAATATCAGCTTCCACGTGAGATTCCTTTAAAGTTTTGACAAGTTACTTATTGTACTTTCCCAAAAAGTATGATCAGTTCTAAAAAAGTGAATGGGTAGTAACCATAAAAAATAAGAATGACTTACAATGAGGACAAAAAGAAGTACTTTAAGGCTTTTTCCCTGGAATGATGGAGGCTTATCACAATATCTTCTAAATAATGCAAATTTTATAACACCAGCTGTTCTCTTAGTATGCTTGAGGATAATCTTTGATATAACCACAAATCAAAGTTTTTAGTCGTATTTTGGAGATACAAGCTTAGCCAGTGAGAGATATCTGTTTTTAACAAAATGGGTGTCTGTCAGAAAACAGTTGTGTCTTGTTAATGCTCTACAGTTTCATGCAAACATCAGAACATTTGAAGCCTGTTTAATCTTTGAGTGGAAAAATGCATACAAGTAAATTAAGAGGTAACTCTGTGAGGTTATTGGAAAAGGGAATAGAGATCATCATCTGAACTCAGTAAACTGCCAATAAGGTGTATGAATATTGAGTTTGTGTTTATTTTATTTTATTGGTTTATTTTATTTTTGAAGATGAAGATATAAGATTACTTTATGCTCCTGCAGGCAGGTGAATGCACTTCAAATGAGCCATTAGTAGTATTCAGATGATTACTGAGATAGTGCTATGTCTTGCAATTTGTAGTAATTAGTAATTAATTAAATATATTTACTCTTCATATGTCTTGAATTTATTTATGTAAGTATGGATAAAATTATACTGAAGTTCTTAGATTCATTATTTTTTAAAGGCCTAAATTTGAGCTGTGGGCAAATAACTCCAAAAAGCAGAACAGCAAATACTTAACTACTTGCATATGTTTTTGTCCTTCATTTTTTTCAAACTTTGACATAGTTCTATAATATTCCAATATTTTTCTTATGCACTCATTAATTTATTTTACTTGGACCTCTGTTAAGATAGTTGGCAGTCTTTGGACATTGTAAACTGTAGTGGTACTTGCAGAAAAGAGGGGAGAGCACAAAGGTTATTGAAGGTTCAGCATCCTCTTCAGGAGCCATATGCTTTAAAGGAGATTTTACAATGGCTGTAAACTCTCCAGAGTACCTTCTGACTGCTGAAAAAATCTGTATAGGCATATCCAACGTGAATTACAGGTATTTCTTTGGCAGCCGTTGGTTTGTGGTGAGAGTTCTGTCAGTCTCCTCCGTGAAAGCCTCTTGCTTTGGTCCTTTAACAGTCTGCTCCGAAGATTCTGCTGCCCACTCTGATACTGTTGTTCTACCATGGGATATGTGGAGAGAACACAGCCTGTGGCACACAGATTTGAAAACAGGAAAACTTTGGGACACTGGGCTGAAGTGCAGTACAAAATGGTCTGGCAATTATAGTTAGACAAGTATTTTCCTGTGCTGATTATGATATATATTAAATGTTGGACTTGGCTTAATTTCACACTCCACCAGGAGCTTTATGTTTTGTCAAGTACTTAGAGAGGCTGGAAGTAATTCTCACCTTTTATAGAGAGCTATGTATGAACCTCTTTGAAGGGATGAGTGTGCCCCAGCTTCCACTGACATCAACTGAAACTGTGAAAAACAATACTCAGTCTTAAATGTAACATATTTTTCAAATTTTACATGCCCAGTGGAACCAGTTTCAGGATTAATTTGAATAGTCAAGGGGAACCACTGCCTTACCAAACAAATCTTCAACTAAAACATGGGTATCTGGAAAAAAAGTAATTTTGGAAAGCAAAACCCATTGCCTCAATATAAGATTATTTCCTCAAATGTACAGAAGATAAATTCTGATCTGTTACCAGCAAAATCTAATGATAGACATTTTACGTAGTTCATGCATGTACATTTTTTGTCTAATTACTTTGATTTTTTTTCCTTAAGATGGATTTTCTAATACCATTTCACTGATGTTTAATTATATTCCAGGTAATAGCAATTTAGCTACACACTTTTTGCCCTTCTCTTCTTATATCATTCTTCATTGTTTTCCTTCTTTACTGAGCTTGCCTTTTACTAAGGAGCCTCCAGCTCTCCTAGTCGGTAACCGTGTCTTGTGGCATTGCTGTGCGTCTTGCAGCAATGGGACAGCTACAACCAGTCCAGGCCATGGCCATTTGCCAGGCCTTGAAGTCAGTGGTAAGACTGTGTGCAGTGTCCAGCAACGAATTTGAGTAAGCCAGCACCAAAGACTGCCAAATGCATTTAAATATATATGTTTGTTTGTTTTGTAGATACATTAGTGTGTTTTATGTAGTCTTCTGTTAAGAGATATGGTGCAGATTTTAGGAGAAGCTTTAGCCCAGCTTAGCTTTTGCTTCTTCTGAAGATTGTCATGGGAAGGGGAAAGGTTCTTGGAATTCTTTGCAGCTGGAAGTTGTGCTGTTGAAATGTTAAGTGAGATTTTCCTCTTAAACCTATGATGTTCTAATTGACTTTTCTTTTTAAAGGTCTCTAGAAAGATTTACTAGTCGTGGTGAGCATGAGACAGAGCAGATTCACTCAGCTCTTTGAACCACAGTTAACATCCTAGGACCAGAGAATGACAGGATCTTGCTGGCATCGACTCCCACAGCAATATCTATTTACTGGTAATTAATACAACACTTTCCATTTAGTTTTCTGTCAGTGCAGTGCTATTGCCTGGGGCTTCATTTGCCTTGCTGCTCAATGTTGACAGCAGCTGCACCCCAGCTCACAGCTTTCTTGCTGCATTTTTCTGATCACTGTTTGTGGGGCAGGAATGGGCTTGCAGAAACCTCAGTATTCCTAAGCTCTTGAGAAAGGGTAAACATATACTTGGAAAGCAAATTCATTTTCGTGATTTAGCTTCCTTATTTCCCCTACTCTTATTTTGCTTGCAACCAGCATTCAGCTGGAACACAAAGAGACTTGTCTATTTATTTGAACTTTGCCTTTCCTACAACCCTTTTTCCTCCTGGGTTTTTATAGTATATTTCTGTGTTCCTGTAATTTCTATTCCTACTGGTTTCTATGTTCTTTGCTTAGATTCTGAATCTTGGTCTTCCAAAATGCCTTGGCTTCTCCAAAATATTTACATTTTCATCCAAAAATATCTCTTTAATATTTTCCAGTGTTCTGCTTTCTTTGACACGTATGTGTCTGTGGAGACCATTAAATGTTTCCCTCAGGTGTTTGTAGAGCTCATTTCTTTATCATTTTTGTCTTCTTTAAGTAAGATAATGACACCAGTAGAAATTTGGCCCCTAAGTTCCTCTGCATTTCAAAAATCATGTCTGTGATGCCCATGCTTGCAAACCAAACCAGGAGTTGTCATTGTCTGGCACCACAAACTAATTGCTGAGGAGCACAACATGTTAGCATTGATGGTACAAATAATAATGTTAGGGGAAGAGAATATCTTTTATAACTCCAAAATGTCTAAATTCCAAAAAAATGTTATGTTTGGTGTGAGATTCATCACATGTGATTTCAGACTGCCGTCATGTTTCTTTTAAATTTTCCCCAAAATTTGTTCATCTTTCTTTTCTCGAAATAATTGCATGAATATTCATGGGAAAAAGTAGAGAAGACTTACCTCAGTTTTTTGTGCTCAGGGTATTAAAAAACTCAGTTGTTTGGAAAGATTAAAAGGTTTGTGTTATGAGCAGGAGAAGATTGGGTTATTGTATCATCACATTGTATTCTGTGAAAACAATGTATTTTTGTAATGGCTAATTGCTCATATGCAATAATATTGTTTTGGTGTAAGCCAAAGGAAACATCCATAGCTTTCCAATTCGGTTAATGCATAGAATCCCAGCATATTTTTGCATTAAAAAAATAATATTATTTGATCATTATACTGCCTTCCAAATTTCCCATAATTCTCCCATTTCTAAAGAGACAGCTCTGATAGTTCATATAAATTTATCAAGATGATTGTGTGCTGAATAATTGCTCTGCCTATTTCAATAAGATGCTTCTTTGAACCATCTTTCTGTTGTATGTCTCGATATTGGATTGAATTTATTGTGTTGAGGGTCAGGCCAAACAAGGCATATACTTAATTATGTTTGCCTCAACAGTTTAGATGCAGAGTGTAGCCTTTATGTTGTGCAGCTTGTTGTGCCAGCTGATGGATCAGAAGAATAAATATCAAACCATCATTCAGGTATTGGAATGCAAGCCAGTAGCTGTGATGAATGTGCTTTCTGGCATTTGCTGATTAATTTAGCTTGTAGTGCTAGTAGCAGATTTGATTGGCTTGCAGTTTACAACTGTAGTTAACTTTGTAAAAATAAAGCTGTTGTATAAGAGAATGTGAAAATGGTGAAGACTGAAGAAAATGTCATTTTTAAAAAATCCCATGAACATTTTCCAAATCACAGTTAGACCCCATGGGCAGATACTGAACTTTTGATATTGTCCCTGTGGGGAAAGTGTGATGGATGGAATCATAGCTTACACTGTTTTACCTTAAACTCCTTAGAAACCTCTGTTTTTCCAGCTATTGAAATTCACCAACAGCTCTGAAATGGGTAAAGAGCTTTCTGTAATAAATATGACAACATAAGCAAAGCTTTTTTAAAAAAAAACCAAAAACCCAAAAAACAGCCCTCCAAGCTTCTTTATTTCAGTAGTATTTTTCTAACCTAAAGCTTGTGTCGATTAAAGTTAAATTACAATTCAAACCTTTAGTTAATTATTAAGCATAAGCAATGCAGCTAGTACCAATATTAGTGGCATTTATATAGCTCTGTATTATGGGCTTTTTGCTTATTTGTCAAAAATTCAGCTTTCAACTTGTCATGGATATTTGTGTTTACAACCAATAATTACATTTTAGTAAGTGTAGGGGGGAAAAAAACGTAAGCTTCTGTAATTCCCAGTATGGGATTTTGCATTCACAAGGTCAGTTAATGCTTTTGACATACTTTTCCTTTTCTCTCGGAAAAGAACATAAAGATGTTTTATGACATCAGGGTACTCTGAACTTAATTTCCTATTCTGTAAAGTTTTAAGTGCACCCACTTGCCTGTTCTTCTATTGGCTAACATAACAAATGGATGTGTTAGTTGCTTGTGCTGAATTATCAGCCATAAATTTAACAGCGCAGAATGGCACTGTTGGTGCTGTAAAATTAGCAGTGGAATACAAAGCTAGCATTATATTCTGTGCTGAGCAGATCAGGGCTATGTAAACCTTGCTCTGCCCTCACTCCCCAGTATCTTTCCAAGCTGAAGAAGTTACCGTTTTACTTTAAATGTTCTGTGATACATTTGCAAGGTTCTGTGTGCAGCCATTTAGAGTTGCAACCAGCATTCTTTTGAGTGCCACTTACAATGAGACAAACATGTGACCAGGCTGCTACTAATTGGCATAGATGGTGGTTCTGTGTGTCTGCTGATTTACCTTCAGAAAGATGTTGCGTAACTTCCTAGTGACCAATATGTATTATTTTGGTCAATCCCTACTCAGTTGTGTTGAACTTTAAAAAAATCTGATGCACGGGTAAATAGTCTCACAGCTGAAATATTATTCCACTCTAATTATTGTCTTGAATACAAGTATTAGGAAGATGTAATGCTTTATGCATTAAGGGAACAGAAAGCCTAATTATGTTAGATGTGAACCTTTACATAACCCAATGTTTCCCATAAAGAGAGATCTTGGACATTGCAAGTTTATTTGGTAAAATGCTTCTTTTGCTTTTGAGTTAACTCAAGCTTCTTCTGAGCTGTCTGGAGAGACCATTACTCTGATGAGCAATCCAGGGCGCTTACTAAAGTACTGATATGAAAAGGGTTAAAAGGGAAGATCAAGGTCTATGTAAACCCCCACAAGTTTTACTTTATGAAATATTTTTTTTTCTAGTAGAGACAAACAAATGAAAGACCCCAGCTTGTATGTGGATGTGTTTTATTGCAGCATTAGCCTTATTTCCCAGCTTTGGGGAGATAAATACAATTCCGTGCTGAAGGTAGAGTACAAACCCATGCATTAAGGGAGGTATAGCCAATTTTCCTGGGTTTGTACACTGTAAAACAAAGTCTGTGAGTCCTTGAGAAAGCTAAAGAGGACTTAGTACATGGTTCATGAGCAGGGAATAGGAATGATTTCCCCAGTTATCCACTTCACTGTAATGGTAGGGTTGGACATGCTGGAGCCAAGCAGTTTATTTGCGTGTGATCATTGGTTTCTTGTACAATGGGAAATGCACTAAAAAAATTCCTCTATTCCTTTGTCTTTCAAAATTTACCCTTCTCCTTTCATGAAAGCAAAAGGCAACAGTTCTATATAAAAGTATTTTTTCAGCTGCATAATTAATTCTTTTTCTTGAAGGATGAGTAGAAAATGGATGTAAGGTAAACTTTAGTTATTTATCTTTCTGCGCTGAAGATGGCTAAGAATGTTCATTTATTTAGGTATTTTAAAAGGCTGTGATATTGTGTATGGCTTATATTGGTCTAGGTCTATTTTAAGAAGCCTGTCATGTGTTCTTGAACAAATTTCCACGCCTGACATTGTTTTCAGCAGGAGGTAGACATCTAAGGCACTGAGATCCAAGTCCTGTTAAATGTCTGACTTCTACTGGTGCTCCTGTTTTTGATTATGTCATTAACTCTGCTTGTCCTTATCCAGACTTACCAGTAAAAACATAGAGACATAAGAAAAGATATTTGGAAAACACTAAAATGCAAATTATAGTAGTGAGGAAAGCTATTTTGAGATGTTACACACTATATTTTGGGAAATCTCATTTTTGCCTGTTTACAATTGTCTAACCTTCTATTTGGATAACATGTCAAATGAATCTGAGATTTAATTGTTTTTTAAATAGAACAATAAATCTATTTTCATGTTATTTTTGTTTTTTTCCTTGAAGACCTGGGAAAATGTGTTTAAATTTATTACAAGATTACAGCAAATTGTGACCTTTCCTGAAGCATTAATTCTCTTGGACAAAACATCAGGTTTACTTTGATGAAATTAACTTCTTCAAAATATGTAGGTCATAATAAAAAAATGGAGTATTTTTTTATATAAACTCACCTTTCTCAGGTTTATAGTTACCTGTATAGACATGTTTTTCAATATCCTGAGGCACTGTCAGCAGTGACTAAGTTACAGGGGATTTGCTCATCTATCTGTAGTTCAATAACTTTTAGACTTAACAAGAGGGGGATTTTAGTTTTGGTTTTTTGGTGTTTTTTTTTTTTGTTTTTTCTATTCTAGGAGATCCCATATGGTCTTTTAAAGGCTTGAATTACTTAAATAACTGATTATTAATTTTTCTACAGAGAACCTGGAAATGGCATTGATCCTTGGCTGAAACCTCCACTCTCCAAATAGTAAAACCCTTGGGGTTTTGTTACTTTAGGATTAAGGTTTCCTTACTATCTGAGTTCAAAAGCCTGAATCAAAACACACTCATATGAATGTGATTAATTTTCTTGTTGCATGTTACCAGTGGGTTTCATGTTATCAGAAAGACTCTTTTGTTGACTGGGAAACAGACAAATCTCATATAGTCTGAAGAAGGAAAATGAGATAGGAGACACCTCTTTCTCTCCAAAACCAACATCAAAATCTTAAGGAAACTTCTAACAGGGAAAAGATTTAGAGTATAATGTTGCATTTTTATTTGCTTGCTGAATTGGGTGTTTAGGGAAGCAATGATTTACTCCGTAGGAATTTTTTAGACATCTCCATTTCACTTGGGTTCTGAGTTCCAGTTACAATTTCTAACTGCAGATTTTCTTTTCCTATGAGTCCAAGTTCCTGCTTTGCTCAAAAATGCTACTGTTCAGTTAATTCATGAGTTGCTGCTGAGATGGAAGTTTGGGTTGAGATATATCTGTCAAACCACATGGGGAAAAAAGCACATTTTCCCTCCTCCTCCTTTTCTTCTGGTTTTGCATTAAGTTTTTAAAAGCTGACCAAACTCCTCTGAGACTGCAGGTAGTCCCAGATACTTCCTGTGCAAAAAGGGGATCCAAGCAATGCATACATCTTTTCTTTTAGGCTGCTCAGTCCCACTTTCAAGAGGTGATTTCACATCTGAATAAAGTATAAGAATCTCCTGGAGACTGCAGAATAAAGTTAGGAGAAGACTGGTAAAGAAAGAGATATGTAGATCTAATCTATGCTGACTTTACTAGCAGTGTCTACTGCCTGTAGATGCAGTTCATCCTTGCCAAGAGATTCTTTTCCCACATTGTTCAAATAGCTCAGTTACTTCTCTAAATACACTATTAAACATTGTCTGTCTGGACTGAAAAGCAGGGGGGCTTTGGGGTGCTGCTCTTCCTTTCCAACTTCTTTGTGTCCACCTGCTTGGTTTTCTTCATTTATAACTTGGAGGGGAGAGGAGAGAAGGGCCAAAAAATTGTACCTGGGTCACAGCTTAAAATGGAATTAAGGACACGATAATTGCATCCACAGTATAAATCATAGTCTGTATTTGCCTGCAGGACTTTGGCATATAAATATTTGAGTATATTTATATACTTTTACACTGATGTTATGCCAAAACTTTCACCACTACAGTAAACATAGTTTTGAGTCCTGAGCATGGAGGTGGACAAATAATGCCTTACTGGCAGATGAAAAAAGAACAATATTAGAAAAGTATATTTGGACCAATGACTAAATCTAACAATGCCATATGTTATTTGACAAATAATAAATCCTCTCACCAAAAACAAAGCCCAAGAAGTTGATAAATGAGCACTTGCTTTTCTGAGTTTTTTACTCAGTCAGAACCATACCTTTGTCCATACAGTAATAGAGACAGTAACAAAGAGTGACTATTAAGATAGACATTTTCTTAACCAGCTGTGGGATGTGGGAAAAGGTAAAGCAAGCAACCAAACAACCATGCAGAAAAACTTGCATATAGGCACACCTTTCTTTAAACTGTTGATGATCGTGACCCGATTGTTAAAATGCCATAACAAATGTGCTCCATTTAAAATCAGGAATTTTTAACTGGATGGTTTTCAGCTATCCTCCATAGCTATTATTGCCACATAACTTTCCTAGTGTGCTGTTTCTACATGCTTATTTATGCAGGCAGAAACTTCAGTGAAGCTGCGAGCAACTTCGCTAAGTATAGGAAACTGAGGGTGTAGGTCAGAAAATGTCTATTTGAATAATAAAAATATGGTCAAGATGTGCACTCTCTTGGGTGAGTGCATTTTATTCCCTCCTGATATCTCTACGGTAAAAGAAAAAAATAAAATAAGGTATTTTTCATTCAGGGCATTCATTTACAAATATTTTGAGAGTTTTGCCTGAACAGGTTGTGTGAATTCTCCTAATCTTGTAGGACTTCATTTTATCCTGGAAACTCTCTTGGAGAGTCACATATAATTCTTTGATTTCTCCTCTTTGCTGAAGTGTTCAGCCATTGCAGTTTGAGCTTATGCCAACGTAGATGAAAGGTTTATATTCTTTAAGGTGTGCTGTGCAGCTGCTTAAGGCATGACCAGCTTAACCAAATAAAGAGCTAGATTTCAAACATTTTAGTCTTGCAAGAAAGAAGGAAGAGTAGTTCACAGTTGAGCACTGAGTTTTCTGAAGCAAGCAGGTTGAGACTACTCTATCTGTATGATCACAGGAATGCTTACCCCTGCAGCACAGTTTTGTTTCCTGTTGCATATTAATTCCTTGCTCCCTGCCATGTGTTCCTGTATTTATTTTTCATGGCAATTCTGAACATGAAGGCAACATTTGTTTGGAAAACTAAAAACAAACTGAATTGGCTACTGGAATATTTAACATTGTCGTTTTAAACAGGTACATAGCTGTTTTGTCTTACTTCCCAGGATTTGTGTTTAGCAAGCCAGGCTCTCACTTTTATAATTTAATTTTTATCAGAGCAAGTGCATCTGTCATGTTGGAAAATAATTTCATCTTGAGATTTGAAAACTTTGCTATATTCCATCACATTATTTTCATGGCACTAGATCAAATTCTTCCTTCTAAGAGCTTTTATCATAGTTGTCATTGGCAACAGAAACCATGGTCTTTAATCAGTCCTTCCAACTGCTGTGTAGTAAGTAGCTGGAATGGACATATAATTTAGACATGAGTAACTCAAGCAAATGTGATAAATGAACTGTTGATCTTGAAATCTTTATTGGCAAATGTACAAGTTTTAATTGAGATGGGATGAGTAGGAGCACATAAAATGTGAGTTACTGTGGAAGCTCAATCTGAACTTGAAACTAAACTCAGTAGTTTCAATATTCCAAAAATATTTCTCATTTCTATGCCCTTTTATATATTTTTTCTTGTGATATAAAGCTTGCTGAGCTCTAGAACAGCACAGGGGCAGTGTAAGTATTAAAGAACTAGGAAATATAGAAATGAAAATTAGTTCATGATTAGTATAATGTTGAAGTACAAACCTTAAAATGTTCAGCAAACAGAAGGGAATTTTCTGCACTGATAGTTACATTTGAATGGCCAGAATTAAAAAAAATAGGAAACCCTCTATAATTCATCTAGTTCCTTATTTAATGCATGTAAAATATTCTCCTGAAGAGACAATTTCTAAAACTAAGTTTCCTGCTGTAGAATGAGTTTCACAAGTATCAGAGATGCAGTGAAAAGAATATGCTAAGAGACAAAATAAACTGTCTTGATTTTGCAAAGCATGAAGCAAGGTACAAAGAGATTTAAACCTAAAATTGTCACATTCTCTAATTTTTTATGTTCTTTTAAATGCCCAAATTACTTTGTATAATTTAATTTTTTTTCTTATGAAAATTTACTTCCTAGTGTCTTTGGATGTACCTTTTTGCATGATCAGCATTTCTGTAAATCTGGATCTCAGTAAATGGATGCACATAATGTCCAGTGATCAGCTGTGAGTTCAGTTTGCTGAAGAGAGCTCCAGGACTGAGGAGATAAAGACCAAATCAGTCAGGTCTTTGAGGAAGGCGCTGAACTGCCTTAGCCATACCACCATCCTTCTGTCTCCTGCAGTCCTGGAACTCATTTGGTGCAAACATTCCTAAGTCCTGTAACCGAGGGTGCAGTTATCCTACTGCAATGGGTGACTCCCAGGAGATAAATCTTTCCATCTGGTGCTTGGAAGAAGTCAGACTCCCTCTGGAATGAGGGAGAGGTGCAGAAAAACTGAATGATACCTCAGTAGAGTTGAATGCAAGAGTGGGAATAGCAGAAGCTGTAAGAGATTGAAGCAGGGAATTGATGAGATGCAGCATGGAAGTAGTCTGAAGTTTGGTGATGTTTTATATGGAAGTGAAAAGGGATGTTTCAGCTAACAAAGTGTAGCAGCCTACTTGCTGTTTCGCCTGTCTTCTAATCTTATCTCTCAAAAGTAGATAAGTTTTAGTTTCATTCTGTATTCATGGGAAGTGCAATGCCCACGGTCAGGAGGTGAACCCAGGTGTCCTGAGTTTTAGCCCAGAGTTCTGTCTGATGGAGCACAGTTGGGAGCCACATACAGATGATTAGTTGCCTATCTACTAAACAGTAGTTGGGCTGGCAGCCCTGTAAAACTGTGCTGTTATTCCAGGCTTAATTATCGGTTTGACATAATGCTACTGAATGAGTGTAAACTTCTAAAAAATTAGAGATTTGCTGCATTATGCACTGTACTTTCTCTGTTAGTGAGAATTCAAATTCAGAATTTTGTAATTCAAAGCAAATTATAGAACAGACACTTGGTGTACAGGGACAGTTCCAGATGACAATTAATGTACTGTCTCATACATGCTTTTTGAGTAACAGTAAAGTTGAGAGCCTGTAATCGTTAAGGAGGTACACTGTTCAAAATCCAGATGAAGAGATAGATTAGCACTGTCACTTCATTGATTAGTACTCCCATTTGTTTGAATTTCAATGCCAAAACGCAATAGATGACATGATGCAAAGAGAACAGTGCATTGTAGTTGCTGTAGTTGTGATGTCTGACTTTATGCAGTTATACAACAATGTTCTAGTACCCAAGAAATTCTGCAGTGTAATTCAAATGCTATAAATTGATCTGAGTTCATTGTTTCTTCTTATGGCGAGGCTGCTCAAAATGAATGCTAAAACATTTTGGAAAGAATTTCCCCAGTAATTGGTTTATTGTGTTTCTGTTTAAGTGCAGTTTACTGAAGTATTCATCTAAAGGAAATACTGCCAATCTCTTCTGATGTGTACATTAATTTATTTTAGTGCACATTAAGGAAAATATCTTGTCACCCAACTCTCTCTGAGTGGCATGATATGCTTTGAGTTTGCAATATATCTGTTTGGAATAAAACAACTCCCATTCATTCTGCATTTTCAGTGTACTCAATTCCACATGTAGCACCTATATAAACAGCCTTAAAATATTGCCTGAACTCTCCTTTACGAAGTCATTGGAGCATTATCTTGACGTCCTTGGGACCTCTGTTACCCAAATGACATAATAACCAGAATAGCCCATCTGTTGAACCTGGCTTATCTAGGACGCGCTGTGGGCAGTTTCAGCCAGCTGAGATTCCCAGCTACCTTGTGAGGAGAAATGAAAGAATGTGGCTGCTTGTAGTATTTTGTTTTACACATTTTACACCAGATTCATTGGACTTAATTGCTGTCAATACTGATGCAACCAAGAATTTTGCAGCTGCCCAAGCATCAGGTTTGAACCAAGGGATTACAATGTTTGGTGTAATGTCCTACAAAGGTCTGCAGTGGAGCTGTTGCCAGAAGCCTTCTTGCTAGACCTCATTCTCAAGGAATAGCCTCAAATAGCAAATTAGTGCTGCTGCTTGCAGTCTTCATCCCAGATCTCTTTGAGAAAAGAGGCCAATGATACCAGATTCCTGCTCTGGCCATCTGAGGGAAGCAGTGCCTGGCAGCCTGAATATCTGGGATGGCTGCAGAGACGACTTCCCCAGGTCTGCTCTGATGTATGCTCAGCTGGATGGCAGCCTGGCTTCCCTACCTGTCCTGGACCTGCTGCTTCTGCTGAGCTGCCACCTGTCCTGCTCCTCAGGGCTGCTCCCTCATGAGGTGTGGAAAGGCTTCATATTTCATCCATTTCCAGGCCTTGCTTGTTTGCCTTTTCATACAGAGATTCTTATGCAAGAAGGCAAGCAAATGTTTATGCACATAAAAACTGATAGTTCTAAATGGTTTGGGTGTTTTTAATTTTTTTTTCTGCTTTGATAAATACTTCAAAGCAACAGAAATATTGGTGTTAATTTTCTCTAAAAGTCTTGGTCTTCCTGATATGCAGGAGCTCCATAAATTTATTGAGCTCTCTGGTTGGAAACACCAGACCTTTTTGTGGTGCCACAGTGAAAATTTCTTCATTCCTGTGCAGGATTCAAATGTGTGACAAGAACTCATTTCAGCAAAAGAGTGTTAGTGAAAGTGTAAAAATCTGCCAGCTTTTGCAATTATATTTTCACCAGCACTTTCATCCGTGAGATTGTCTGGTTTTGGTTTTGGCTGGGAGGATTCTTATCTTCCCACTATTCTGCAGCCCTTAATATTGCTCTGAAGCCTACAAAGTTAATAGAACATTTATCACAGGGCAGGACATTATTACTTTTAATTCCAGTCCCAGTTGTTCTCTCTTGGATCTTCTCTCCAGGAAAATTACTTGCATACTAGTTTAGTGTAGCATTTTAATGGATTGCCTCCTTCTACCTTTCTCCCACCTTCTTTATTTCCTTCCTGAATTTCTTTTATCTGCTCTTGTTTAGCTGGCTACTCTTCTCACAAGAAGGGCTATTTTTTAAATGAAAATCCATAACATGTAGAGACAGTAGCTTGCAATTTGTAATTTAGGCAGAATTAATTCCATTCCCATTAACTGTGAATGGGTCTATCATGCATGTGTAATTGAACATAACTAGATCAGAGGAGCACTATTAAGTTTACATTCCTTTTAGGTTTTGAAAGAGATCACAGCAGTATTAAAATTGTCGTTTCAAAAGCTAAATAGAATAGCTATTAATCCATTTTGTATATTAATAAAGAGACAAACACCCTTGGTCATGGTTCTGTTTTCATTTTCATTAGCTGTTATATGAGATTTCTTTCCTATTAACAAAATGTCTTTTTTTTGTCTTACTTGAAATAGCTCCTTGCAAGTCTTCTGTATTCGTGGCAGAGGTTATTTCTTGCCATTTCAATTTACAGCTTTTTAAAATAACTAGTCTGCAACAGCTGCTATGTTGTTGACTCTTCAGGTAGCACGATAAATTGCATTTTGTGTCTGAAATATTCCTATATCTATTTTAAAAATTCATGCTGTTTCACAGACATTTGTGAAGTTCAGTATGTTCTGAGAGGTTTTTTAATCAAAGCTAAACACTCATCCCTCTGTCCTCCATTTGCACACTTGTCTGTTAGCAGGACAGATTAAAACATTGCAATGTTCATAGCATAATGTGAAATCCTTTTGCTATTTTCATTCTTCTCATTCATATATTGTGGTTTCATTCCTTCCTGAACAAACTTATTTTCCAGAGCTACATATACTACTTGTGTAATGACACAAGGGCCATTCTGTTAGAAAATGCAATCTTTCAGATTGTGGTTTCAGCAAAGGAATGAATTTTACTGGCCACCCAAATGTAATACATCTGTTGTAGTGCATCTGTGTTTTATTTATCAAGGAGTATTGGAATGGTTCAGCACTTAGCTGCAGGGCTTTTAGTCTCAGAACAATTTGTGTATGTGGATACAGTGATGAAGTCTAAAGGAGAGCAATGGCAGGGCGCACTGGACACCACAATCACAAGCATCAGAAGCAATTGTGTTTTGGGAGAAGAAATGGATGTCATACTTTACTTAGAATGTTGTTGAGAACTAGTTTTTATAACAACTGATTAAGAATTCCATCCTAAATTAACACACAGCAATCAGAACTCAAATCTCAGAGTCTTAATGTGCTGCTGCCCATGAGTTAGATCTCAGCCAGGCTGAATCAGGGAGAGGAGGTGCTCCAGGCACCAGGTAGGAGATTCTCCCACAGCCCCGGGCACAGACCATGGGGAGGCAGCTGTCCCCCTGCAGACTGTGGAGTTCCAGAGGGCAGCAGAGATCTACCTGCAGCCCTGGAGTGTTGTCATCTTATTACAAGGGTTCCATGCTGTTGTCTCCGTATCTCAAAAGTTTCATGAGTTCTTGGTGTTTCTCATGGGCAACTCCTTAGAGCACTGACTCTTTATTCTTCACAAAGCAGCCAACTGACCCCAGTTCCCCCCTCAGCCATACACCCCACTCTTTCATAGCACTCTTCTTCTCACTGGTTACAGCTGTGGCCTGTTAAAGTCAGGCCTGTTCCTAATCTTTGATAATTGGCCCAGCTGCAAGTCCTTAGGGGTAAGATAACTTCCTACACTACCTTTATTTTCTTATATTCTATCCCCTTACACTTGAGCACTCCGCACCAGAGCAGGTGGATGTTCGAAGGAGGCTGTGGCCCGGTAGGAAGCCCGTGCTGGAGCAGGCTCATGGCAAGACCTGCGGCTGGTGGAGAGAGGAGCCCATGCTGTAGCAGGGCTTTGATGACAGGACTTGTGACCCTGAAGGGGACCCACAGTCAGGCTGCCTGTTCCTATAGGACCGTGCTGCATGGAAAGACACCTACACTGGAAGCAGTTGCTGAAGAACTGCAGCCTGTGGGAAGGACCCACACTGGAAAAGTTCATGGGGAGCTGTTTTCCATAGGAGTGACCCCACGCTGGAGCAGGGGAAGAGTGTGAAGAGTCCTTCTGCTGAGGACAATGGAGAGGGAGAGACAACATGTGATCAAGTGACTACTGTCGCCACATTTCTCTTCATAGAGAAAAGCAAGGCACAATTCTTCCCAAGATTATTTCTGGGTTTTACGTTCTCTGAACCTCAGAGAAAGGAAAAACAATTCTTATCATTTACTGTGTCTGTATTTGTGCAAAAGTAGAATGCAATATGGAGATTGTTTACCCAAAGTGATGGTGTTTTGTTTCCTTGGCCTATCAGGGCCAAGCATGTGTGGGTGTCAGGATTGCTGGCTGACAGTCACGAGATTCTGGGCAGCTGTGTGCAGAGTTGAGCGCTTGGCAGATTCAGTTTATATGTAGTGTAATACAATATGGAATAGTACAGCATAATAAAGTAATTAATTAGCCCTCTGATAAGATGGAGTCCTCCTCATCATTCCTCCCTGCCACGGGGGTCCCTGCAAGTACTACGGACTACAGGTCCCATTCCCTGTCCTCCTGCACCAATAGGTGAGAGGTGGTAGAGAAGTCAACAGTGATGTTGAGTCTGGGAAGAAGGGAGTGGTGACAGGAGAAAGAAGTTTTTAAGATTGGGGGTTTATTCTTGTTATCCTACTCTGATTTAATTGGTGATAAATTAAATCAGTTTCCCCAGGCTGCATCTGTTTTGCCTGTAGTGATATCTGGTGCGTAATCTCTCCATGTCTTTATCTGGACCCACAAGCCTTTTGGGGTACTTTCTGTTCCTTGCCCAGCTGAGGAGAGGATGACAGAGCAGCTTTTGGTGGTGAATCATTATCCAGTCAGGGTCAGTTCACCAAAAATAGGAAGGTGCTTACCATTCTTAGAAGCCAGCAATTGTATTTCTCTCCATGTTTCTACCAAAAAATTATCTTGAATTTATTCAGGGTGCTCCTGTGAAATTATATATTCTTTATTTCTAAATTACAAGAGTAAACACCAGTAAATTTAAAAGTGAAATGAAGCACACACTGTTGAAAACGGGCAGAATACTAGTATATTTGAGCAAAAGATCACAGTATAGAAGTGCAGGATTGCAACTAAAATGTAAATCTACCAATTCTAGTTTTATCTCAAATGTATGTTTACTTCACATTTCAGATGCCCCACTTTCTGATTGACTACTGAAAGGAATGATGTATACAGCATATCAATTGTGTCTTAGAAAAGTAATGCTAGTTCTATTACTTGACTGAAGTTTAATTAAAACACTAGAAACTAGTATTTTAGAAATTCCAAAATGAAGTTCCTAAAGACATCCACAAAATCTACATGATAGAGATATTGAATCAAAGATAGCTTAAAAAAGTTTTAATGGCGTATTTTGTACATAAGATGGTATTAAATGGTGAACATTTTGCAGGGAAAGTTGATTAATTCCCTGTGGGGGTTTTCTTTTTATTTTAAATTCTGTAAACTCTCTGCCAGTTGTACTTTTCATTGATTTATTGGCCTGCATTGTTGCTATCATTAACAAAAGACTTTTTTCTACATTAGGAAGCTCAGTTTTTTGTACAAAAATTGAACTCTTTAGTTCTTTGTCCTTTTAAAATTTTTTTCCTCAGTTATACCTTCCCCAACTTTTAGGTGCTGCATTGAAATTTAATGTACATATTGTCTTCACAAACTTGACAAGGCAGAAATATTTGATGTGATGGAACTCCATCCCCCTTTCCCCTTACCCTTTTTTGTTTTTAAGGTCACATCTGACCTAGCCATACCTTTCTGTTGAAAAATAGTATCTGCAGCAGCCATTATATGCCCCTTGAAGATGACAGAGAGCTGCCTTTC